ATACCACATTTCGCACGTCACCGGAACAACATTTTCCAGCATGATAACGCCCGGGCCCATACTGCCAGAGCTACACGGTACTTCCTACAGCAGAACGGTGTCAACATTATGCAGTGGCCAGCCCTTAGCCCTGATTTAAACCTAACTGAACATATTTGGGATGAAATTCAGAGGAGACTGAATAATGTCACACCAAGGCCGAACACAGCCGATTCATTGCGCCATGCCTTTCTCAGAGTGTGGTTCCAGGTGCCAATGGCCTTCATCAATCGATTGGTGCAGTCCATGCATAGACGCTGTGCTGCAGTTATTGCCGCTCGTGGTGGTCACACTAGATATTGAAGTCAACGGTCTGAATGGACTGCAAACGTTCACGTAATGTCTTGAAATTGTGCTGAGTTATTCATTGATGTGTCAAGATATTGTACACAAAAATGTTTTTGATCCGCTGGTTATGTCCATTTCTGTAATGATTTGATTACAGTGCCTATCTAATTTTGAATTCGTACTGACGTTTGTTTTGCTGCTGAGTATATATAATGATCTTGCTACTGTCCTAAACGACATCGTCCCCTCTTGGTTGCCCAGCCATGTTGGAATTTCTGGTAACACAAAGGTCGGTTCTGCGACACCACTTCTCATCCAATGTTCCGATTTTAAAACAGTGACCAGATCTCTCTACTGGCCCTCAATGAAAGGTCCACTCCACTTTTCACAAGGTAGTCAAACACGTTTTTCTGTTTCTGTCGTGCTGACCATGTTATCGGCATTCTCCAATATGAAACCACAAAGTTTATACACATCTCTCCCTTTGATGCGTTTCACGTGACATACGTATTCCCACTATATTGCAATTTGAGGACTTAGGGATAATAGAGGAATTTCGGTTCTTGTATTTGGGGTGGCTGTAACAGAATGTGTCCATACATATTAAATCACCACAAAACATGCTGTTATAAAGTATTATTCTATTTTAACACGGTTAATGATCGCAAGTTGTAAAACTCAAATCATTAACCAAACAACTGAAATACATATGCATCATTATACCAATAAAGAGATAAGTACAGCTGATTAACGTTTTGCTTATATGAACACCCCTACCCCAGGTAAATAAGCCTGTTTGTAGTATACGGCAGGCAATGAAAACATATGTATTTTCCTTCCTTCTTCCTATCATGAATTCGAAACGACATGATCATTTTGAATTGCATACAAATAAGTGCATCATGGCACTGTAGCTCACGTGCATATGAAGGCAACTGTTTAAATTGTACACAACAAACACTAAGTGAAGTTGCTGATAATATTGCAATCAAATTGTATCTACATGAATATTCATACTCCTTTTGATAGAATACAACAAGATCTGCAAAGCAAGTCAGTTGTTTACCGGAATATATAGTGAAAATAGGAATTGTATAGAACTATTACTTTTGTCACAGTTGTGTGACATTTCAAAATGTCCTCTATTTCCCAAAATATACGACCTTGAATGCTGTCAGTAACGCATTTTGTCAAATTGCTTCGCGCAAGAGTTGCAAGGCACTTATGTAAATCGTCTTAAAATAAGCATTTTCGATTTTACCTCAAAAGTTGGAAATGAAGATCAAAATATTGGAACAGCTATATGTGAAGTTTAATGTATTGCCCGAATTCCGTTTTGTTTTGAATTTTACTTTTCGAGAAAAAACTCGGACGCGTATGCACAGATGAACAAGAGACTGTAATGTGGAATGTAGGTTTTCAGTTCTGCTTATAAGTCGCAACAAATAGATTGAACGCTCACGCAGTCATTCAGCTTGGGTGATGATTTTGAGTGAGTGAGTGAGTTAAAATTTTACATCGCATCGGCAATATTACAGCCATATAGCGATGAAAACAAGGTAATCATTTTAAAATATCTGTCGACAAAGGACAGTAAAACCAACTAGACTATCTCAGGTAAATATATTTAAAACTAGTAATTAAATCTAAAATAGTTTAACTATAGAGGACGACACAATATAATAACAGGGTATAGATCACCAACAACTGAAGGTAGCAATATTTCATATGTGACATTGAAATGGAATATATGTATATTATAAAAACCTGGGGACAGTAAAACAACTAGAATATCACAATAACAACTAAAACGAGTGTGGAAAGTTAAAACTGATAGCACTATTTTGACAATACAATATAGAAACAGGCTATAGATCGCCAACAACTGAAGGTAGATCACCATACCAGGGACCATGGGAACTTACAGTACCTTTGATACCTGCATGGACCCTAGTTGGATTAACACCATCCCTTCAGCCGCTGGCGTTTGTAGGTTTAGCCGAATTAGCCGAAGAACAAAAACACTACGTTTAAAAATCCGGTAAGCTTAAATTTAACTTTGAAAGTTTTGGGACTTACGTACCCTCTCAGGAGGACAATAATTTTACGATACTTTAACCCCCTGTTGATAATTTTGAAGTTGTGACTGTAAGTATTCCAAATGTCCTTTAACTTAACAACGTCCTTACCCTCTGGGCAGTAAGATCTCGGATGTAAGGGGTTAAGGTCCGGTGTAAGTTGTTGTCCTTTCCGGAGCTAACTAAACTAAACCAGTAAATTTGAATTGTGGTTCATCTACTTGCCCAGTGCGGAAGACAAGCCTATTAGATAGACACGTGCCTCATCCACGACATTCAGCTGTAACTAACACAGGCATTCGCAAGTACACAGACCTGAGTCCCAATCCACAAAGGGTTCGTAACGTTACGACACATCGTAACTCCATACTTTATGATAGCTTCACGAATGGCATAGTGCTTCGATCGTTTTGTGGATCGGGCCCCTCACGCGTATTGCTTAAAGGTCACATGCAACCAAAAAATCAAACATAATTAAAACACAATTATCACTTATTCATGACATATGATATACATTGCTGGTTATGAAAAAACATATATACAAAATTATAAGCGTACAATCGCAAATCAAAAGTGCAATATTGTGTACTTGGGTTTACTTCCCAAGAAACGAAGCAGCCGGGATACCGAACCCAGTCAGAGCGGGCGGGTGGGTGTGCACTCAAGTGTAACGGCTGGTTCATTTGCAGATGCCCTCGCGGCTCATTGTGTGTGTATATATAGAGATGTTGGGTTTTGTAAATACATGCTCAATTTTTGTGTATAACATTTTGCAATCAACAGACATCATAACTGCATGTCATGTGTTCAAGTATCACACCTGCCTGTCTGTGTAATTACATAATGTGACAGAGACCGAACTCGGGCCATAAATCAATGCATTGTATTTATGGTGTATAGCCTGATTGGTTTTAAGTTCAAATTGCATGTGGTCAGTGATTGCAGCTGTGTATTGAATATTGTCATTAGCAGACAGGCAGGCAGACACACAGGTGTCAATAAAACAAGACATTGAGTTTTGTCTGTGACAACGAGATATCTGTATCACAGTTAGAAATTCTGTCAACGCTAAATAAGGACACTGCTTTTAAGTATCGAACTGAGACAGTGACTCGGTAAGAAGAACGTGTGGTGAAATAGACAAATGAAATTATATAAACAGTTTATTTACTGTCATAACATATAAAAAGCTCGCGCCTGAGAAATATCAACAAAACATTAGAAAAATAGCTCACACCAAAGCCTCCCGACTACCGCCAAGAAAGGCTGTCCGTCTTGAAATGTCGAAGCCTCACTGGTTTACACATAGCTGAGTAGATCTAGATCCCTACAAGGTTCTTTTATGTAAAGAATAGATTATTAACTATTTATTTGTGTACACAACCAGGATTAGACTACTCCTGCTCACGACCTTACAATCCGGGCATACATCCTGTTTCAAGCTCCGCGAACCTATTCAGTGCGCATGCGTCAGGAGCGCAGCTTAGCCCAGCTGTTGAAACCAGTTTTCCCCCGAAAAGTCGGGGGGAAATTAGTGAATCGTTTGAACTCCGATTTCGCGCAGTTTTTTTCATCGCGTTATTTTTCAACTTTATAAGTTGAATTTGCATTTTTCATGATTTGTTTCGGTAAGTCCATACCGAAAGGTATCAGAATCTGCAAAGTTGCATGTGACCTTTAAATTTCTGCTGCCACATATTTTTACAGAGTATATTTTATGTGTGCAAACATAATCCTTTAGATCACTTCGACCTTCAGGGACTCTTTTCAGTTGACAGTAGTCAGATCTGTTTGGTTCTAACGATACATTTTCTGCCAAGTTCTGCAAGATGTTTTAGGGAAAACAATGGTAGACAGTCTGACTAATGGTATACGGACATACTATACTGTATACTATTACATGTGTTCACCATGCGTTTTTATCTATTGCGGGCTTGCAGGAACACTCATGTCTGTACTAAGTACGCCTCGGTAGTGGGCGAGTCGGGGGTCACACAAATGGGTGATGATGGGTCCGCACAAAACGTAGGTGTGGTCGAATCAAGCCCTCTGGTTGGTTGATGCTTGATAAGGTGACATTTACAACTGATGCTTTCTTTGGAGAAGCCATTGCTCGAAAAATATTCTTGCATTAAGCAGTCGATGAAAGGAGATATTCCCGCGAATTTACAAAGAATGTGCAGATTTGCAAGCGTTGACAAATCAGAGGGCTTGCTTCGACCACACACCGTTTTGGTGCGGACCCATTGTCATCCATTTGTGTCAAGATCGTTTAGTTGAGGGTCAAAATCGGGTTTCAATCGATTTGCAGAAATAACAATAAAGAATTGGTAGGTGTCATGATTGGTGATCCATAGGCCAATCATCCATGATTATGTTTACATTAAGTTTTAATCGATTGTATGCGATGGTAGCGTAGCGATCGGCAAAGCAGGTGGGTAGGGTACACTGAAGTGTCTGGCATTGTCATCATGTATTGTACTGTGAAGCATTTCGAGTCGGGGGTCATCTCAAAAATACTTTTTTTATTCTTTAATCTAGGCAAAGAAACGAGGGCCTGTGACTGAGATGGCTGTGTAGACAGCCGTAAGGAACATATAAGTGTTATTTGGGGTATTTTTATTTCGTCAGTTGCGTCTTCAATTCAGCAGCTTACACTCATATTGGAATGAAGGTTGGTACAATTTGCGACACACTGTTCGATAAATGAGTCGTTGGGTATGTATGTTGTAGTTTTTTCGTATTTACCTATGCAAGTCAACTTGATTGTTACTGTCTGCTCTCATATAACAGGAACAAAACGCAAAAGGGAACCTTCATCACAATTTGTTGATTAACGTAATAAGCAACACCTAGAAAATATCAATCCAAATTAACAAGCAAATAGTAGTGCTGAGAAAACAGTTCACGTGAACTTAGGCTCAAAACTCTTGGTCTTCTCGTCATGTGAATCAGCGGCACATATGACTAAGGACAGAAGTATATATGCATCATAATTATGTTTTGTATGATATCAGTGGTGTCATAATAATAGTATCAGGTTCTTTAAAATTCACTTCCGGAGAACGTGTTCATTACGACAGCACTTGCCATCCACCAAAATGGTGATGATGTATAGCTATTAGGCAACATTGGCGTCGCTGGGTATGTTGTATTTGTTTTGAACTCGTATTTACTTATGCAAGTCAACTTGATTGTTACTGTCCGCTCTCATATAGCAGGAACCTTAATCACAGTTTGTTCACTTACGTAATAAGCAACACCAAGAACATATCAATCCCAAATTAACACGCAAATAATAGTGCTAAGAAAACAGTTTACGAGAACTTACGTTTAAGTCTCAGGGTCTCCACGACATCAGCACCATGGAGTTCAGTGGTAGATGTTCCTGAAAACATAAGTCACTGTGTATATTCATTATGTTTATGTTATGCATCGATAATGCTATATCAGCGGTGTCAAAATAAGAGTATAAGTAACATTAACTCCTGGACAACCTACTCATTACCGGGGGATTTGACATCCACCAAAATGGCGATGATGTTAAGCTACCAGGCACTGAAAAGGACATTTCTATAGTAACAGTACTAACACACCATAGATCACCTTCAGTAACAATTTTCAGTTGACAGTAGTCAGACCTGTTTAGCGATACATTTTCTGCCATGTTCTGCAAGTTGTTCCGGCGAAGATAATGAAAACAGTCAGACTATTATCAAGTGTTCAAAATGCCTGTTTTACTGTTGTTTGCGTGCACGAATATTCCTATCTATACAGAGGGACACGTTAGTGACCACTGCGACTAGGTGGTGAGCGAATATATCACAAAATGTACGTTGCTGTAAGCAACATGCTCAAAATATTACATTAGAAATGAGGAGTCGGCGAAACGAGCGAAACTTTAAACAAATGGCTTAATGCTATTGAGGAAGCCACGGGTAGACAATCCCGATATACATTTCTGCATTAACGTGTGGAAATATCATGACCTGTGACGTGGTTATCTCGTCTGGTAAGGTTGATATTGTTATAAACACATTAGAAAATGTACAATATCCCTTCAGACTAAAAATAGACTTAAGAGACATTGATGGCACAGGCTTTTAAGTAACCGCCATTCGCTGTGCGGAGTTACGTCAATTAGGCGAAACAGAAACCCACAGCCGTGACTTAGACTCCAGGTTTACTCTGATTATGCTTATTAGGCCTGGGGCGGTTGGGTAGCCTAGTGGTAAAAGCGTTCGCTCGTCACGCTGAAGACCCGGGTTCGATTCCCCCACATGGGTACAATGTGTGAAGCCCATTTCTCGTGTCCCCCGCCGTGATATTGCTGGAATATTGCTAAAAGCGGAGTAAAACCCAACTCACAACAACTTATTAGGCCTACGATCATATCCACATTTTCCCCATAATAAAGTTATGTCATGATATAACTGAAATGCTGTTAAAAACTTAATCAAATCAAATTGTGTGATGTGTAAAACGCACGGTCTGTTCCAGTTTGGCCTGGGACGTAGAGACGTTTTGGACGCAGGTACCATTACCCACCACTCGTACCCCGTACAGCAGTATTGAGACATAATTTCCTTACGTGAGAGCCTTGACGGCTGAAAAAGTGTGATTCAGACCCAAATGTGTTGTTTGGTCATAAACCAGAACACCAGTAGAATATAGAATGGGCGATTTTGTCGAGGTCGTTTTTATAATTGTAGAACGAATGCATACTCAGTCTTTAGGTTTAGTCCATTATTTCGGTTCTATGAATTTACGCAATGTATCAGACGACCAGTTACACGTGAGCAGTCACGTAACGAAACTGGTAAGGGTACTTTAGTCAGACCCCGGATAGTGAAAAATATTTACACGAGTACACCGTCCAGTACTAGTTTCAATCTTTCTTTATATTGACAAAACGCCCTGGTGACACGATGAGTGTACTTGTAAATAAGCGTCGTACATGTTTGAGTAATATCCCAACATTCTTTGTCTATTTTTCAATATTGTCTTAGATATCTATCATTGTTATATATGCATTGCGTAGGATGAACGTGCGTTTATTAAACGATTTGCAGTTGGTTACAATAATCCAGAATTCGTGGCACATCGTCAAACATTGTACACATTTATTCCAGAACATATTCTAACCCAAAATCCCAAAGTGAGTGATATTCGGGATATTTTTATTCCTTCAATTGCGTCTTCAAGTCAGCAGGTTACATTCATACGGGAATGAAGGTTGGTAAAAAGTGCGGAGAACATAATCATCAATATATAATGTGAAGTGGACATACAGCTTAGTCAACATTTGAGTCGTTGGTTATGCATGTTGAAATTTCTTTTCGTATTTACCGATGCAAGCCAACGCGGACATCAGTTCGAGCGAAAATTTTGTTCCTTGAGCTCATCCCCTTGCCGCTTAAATTAAGTGTTTTCATTTTCGGGAAAATAAGAAAAAAGCTCAGCCTAGTTATTTTACTGTCATTTACCGACAGATATATATGTCGTCTAAGCAATTTTAAACTAAAATACAACACGCATAATCACGACCTGGTTTAAATATTGCCGATGTGACTTTAAATTGTAACCCACCCACTCCGGTAAAATGTTAACCTCACTACTTACCACTTTCTCGATGCCTGAAAAAAATGCAAAATACAAAGTAATATGGGATGTGAAATTGATAGATAAACGCATGTTCAAAATATATGACGACTTATAATATAAAATGAATGATGGTTGTCCTACTTGATAGAATTGCATGTTACCAAGTAGGTGTCTATTAGACAAAGATAAGGCATAGAATTGATCTTCTGCACCCCTTGCTTGCAGTTAGAGCTCGAGGCGATTGAAGGGTCGGATGAACTGTCTTGTCCAGACTCGATTACATGCATACTACAGTCAAAATGCTGGACAATTGCTGAGTTCGGCGTTAAAGAACAAACATAACTTAAATAAATTACACGTTTTATGGATAACAGCTTCTTTTTTATTCTTTACACGACGTTTCAGAGCTAATTCTGGCTCCTTTACCAGGTGAATGCGTCAGGAGCAAGAATTATCTCTGAAACGTCGTGTAAAGAATAACAAATAAGTTGTTATCCATAAAACGTGTCATGTATTCATGTTCATCCAACTTCTAAGTGCCTTTTCAAAACAAAAAAAACCCATAACTTATATTGCCAAAATTGGAAACAATAAAAGACCAACGCCATGTTGCTTTGAGTATGACAAGGTTCATATGTCCATTTTATAATTAATATGTACACTGATCCAACGTTAATAAGCGATACGAACACACGTAATCACAAAGTCACCGAGTCTAATCAACAGAACCATGCTAGCTCCGACAATCTGTAAGTCCTTAGAAATAAATTACTTGACAGATTTATAAAAAATGTTTATATATGTACACTATAAAACACATCTATACTTTGAGTATTGTTTCGTTTAAAAGTTGATTCATTTGATAACCCGCATCACCCGCATCGTGTGTGTCATTGCTATTGTCCATATGACCATACACCTCTGTTAAAATGATGACTAACTAGGAACTATTCCAGCTTAAGACAACGGCCTGTAAAAGTCCCGTTTGGACAATACAGTCCCGCAATTGCCATCATGAACAGTGGCGCTGTCAGGGTACAATGACACACTTTAAGCCACCAGAGTTGACCAAACGATCCATTTGGCGATATCTGAAGAACAACATTGGTTCACAGGGACGTGTTCAACCACCAGAGCGGCAGGATACGCTCGTCTATCTAACACGTGATATATTTACGCCGCACTCAGCAACATTCCAGCTATATGGCGGCGGTCTGTAAATAATCGAGTCTGGACCAGACAATCCAGTGATCAACAGCATGAGCATAGATCTGCGCAATTGGGAACCAATGACATCTGTCAACCAAGTCAGCGAGCCTGACCACCCGATCCCGTTAGTCGCCTCTTACGACAAGCATGTGTTACTGAAGGCCAATATTCTAACCCGGACTTTCACGGGTCCACAGTCTGAGAGCACATTAATACAAACCTATATATATTACATAGTTAAAACCGTACAATAGACTCGTATTGGCAACTGCTTGTATTCAGTGAATATGTTCTGTAGCTTTTGTGTCTAGCACTGATGACAAAGCAGCAAATGTAAGCGAATGTTACTGTTTTGTTTTCTTCATTCAGCGATCTGCAAGGGATAATTCAATATGCAACGACCCAGATGAATAAACTGATTACAAAGAGTTATTGAACACATTTCTTGACAGGACACATAGCATTACGAAAGGATCGGGTGTCCTTTCATTATTTTCAGTACAATGCATCATACAAAACGTGTGTGCATGCCTACTTTCCCATAAAGATCGGGTCTGTAATTCATACGACCCATTAGCATATCGTGGGGAATTGTAAAATTGAGTGACTAAAGTAAAGATTTCTAATAAATTTTGAAATCTGATTACGCCGTGTACATTAGCTTAAAATATGTCCAAATATACTTCCCATGAAATATTTTTCGCAGTCCATAGTGGTATAAAGAATTATCATGTATACTGTAAACGAAGAATTATAATTCGAAATGAATACGAACTTACCGAAATTTGTAAACGTACACAACAAAGGCTGCGGCAGCGCTGACGACGGAGACGGCGACGGCGACGGCGATTAGAACCTGGTACGAATGAGTCTCTTCTGGTGGATCATTTCTCGGTGGGACTGTTGTTAGTGGTTGGGGTCTTGTCTCTAAGTGGAAAACAATCACATGAAAAGGGAAAACATTATAATGTTGTACTGAATTCCCTAAAGTTTGTTCAAATGGTTGTTTATGTTAAATTCTTTTCATGGAAATACAATTAGAGTAAGATGAGAGTGATGCTTTGAACAGTTTTCATTTTTTCCCTAGCATAAAATTGTTAGGAAAGTCTCAAGTAATGCAATTCACGGACGTTTACACGTTGGTGATGCTGACAAACACATAACCAGCATCGCATTAGGAGTCTTACGTGTTCCGTGTCTTCGTAAAAGCAGAATGGTTTAGTGAGATATAGACATGATTACATTATTTATTTAACAGAATTACGTGTGGAATAAATGTATGGGTACAGTATGTGACAATCACATTGCAAGTATGGTGAAACGCTTAGATGTATCTATCATGTGACTCTCAAAAATAAATACAGCAATAACTTCAACTGTGTGTCGCTGAAGATGATATCCTTTTGGTATATTTCAAAATGATGACGATTTATTCTAAAATGGTTTCATAAAAAATACACGCACGTGGTTGATAACCTGATGTCTGATTCAAATCAAACAAAGTGCCTGGCTTACTTATTACTGTTATTCTTAAGCTACCTTTCATTATTTTTAAAAGAAACCAATCTCGGTCGCCAGTTCCTCATGCATCGACACCCATCCAACCAGGCTATGTACGTATGCCTCCTCAAAAAGGATTCCTTTTGTTTGTTTGTTTGTTTGTTGTTAAACGCCACACTCAGCAATATTCCAGCTATTTGACGTCGGTCTGTAAATAATCTAGTCCGGACAGAGAATCCACGCATGATCATCGCTTTACACAGTTTGGAATACGATGACATGTGTCAAGCAAGTCAGCGAGCTTGACCACCGGATCCCTCTTACGACAAGCATGGGTTGTTAAAGACGATTCTAACCGAAGTCATCACGGTCCAACAACGATTCCCTACTCAATACATACATTATGACATTGCTGCTTGATTGATTTCTATCACATAAAGACATTTCATTGGGATTGTATATATTTAACACGCATAAACTATTCTAAAATCCTGGTTTTTACTTGATATAACAGCTCGATATATGTACCCATTGCTTTGACATATTTGTAATACAAAATTCAACGATCTATAGACCAAAATAACCTGTAGGAAACAGATGCAATCATACCAACAAACATTATTCAGGATAATGCAATGCAGCAATAGCAACAAGTTTCTAATATGCATCCACAGATCATAGTTAGAAGGTTTACTCTTTTCTAACATGATAACTTTCTTTGTTTGAGATATCTAAGATGTCAATGAACGCATGAACATATAATTTAGTAATTGTACCTATATATTCTTCGCAAAGATGTCCTCTGTAGTTTTCTGTGCAACCTTTCGAGCACTGCCCAGTTTGTTGAACACATACACGTTCCACGCAATTCTTGCTACAATGTAATTCGCATTGGCTGCCCCACCGTTCAGGGACACAGCCGAGTGAGCAGTCTCCAGTGTCTTTATCGCAATACCTTTGTTTGTCGACATGGGCGCGACAGTTGACATTGCAATGCTTGTCACAATGCTCTCCATACAACCCCGGCCCACAGGGGGGTTACGCCAAACATTCCTGGTACTGCAACACATGAATTATTCGCTTTTAAGCAATTCAACGGTCACAATTAAATTAATAAAGGTCATATACGAGAATAACCAATCTTGCCTATCTGTTCAGTGTTCATTTGGGAATCTGAATGCATCACTGGAAATGGTTGTCTCCCAAACCCCCTACAGCCCATATCCCCTACAGCCCAGTGTCCCTACAATTAGTTCAAACAACACACGGCATTAACCTGTCTGACATAATGAACTGACCCAAAGGAGAGATTTACAGGGTGGAGTATACAGTGTGAGAGTATACAGATGAGAAGGGAATAAGATTGTGTAGTTGTTATTAGTGTTTTAATAATTAATTTTAAATAATTGAGATGAATTAAATGTTGAACTAGGTTTTTTTAGCTTCCTGATGTACATAGTGAGTAGACAGATTTTGCAAATCGTAATAATATCAGTTGTAATAGTGTTATAGACAGTACACTGAGATAAATAATTTGAGATGATTTGGGGTGGTATATACGAGGGTCTTTCAAAAACCTAAGGGGAAACAAGCAACTGTACTTTCAACATTTTTATGCACTTTAGTATCCAAGTTTGATTCTAGCGGACTTCTGCCTATCTCAAACACACAAAATGTTTCTTGCATATTTTGTTTCCTGAAGTTCGTGATGCATTATTGCAGATTTGGCGTTTTTTGGGGGTACCAAAATAGAAAGTCAAACAAAGTGGGTATCGTGAGGCTGGTGATAATCAGTGATAACATCAGGAATTTCCCAAAAGTGTCAGTCTTTGTTACCAGTAGTACCCGCCACGCACACAACAGTAACGTGTTAAATAACAAATATGAATATATAGTATCATAGACATCAATATATTTCATGTCCACATGCCTGAGTCAGTGTGTGCATAACTACTTTTCATTGTCCTATTTTGATACATGTAAGGCAAGTTGATCGGCCGAGTGGGTATAGGGTATTGAACATAAAAAGGGTATTGAAAGGAATCTGGAATCCTTTATTACTGAGCATTTAATGATGCCTTGTAAAAGTGTCAGTCTAATGTGTGCATAATATCCTCAAATTGTATTTATTTCTATTCTATGTACGAATACGTTGTTAGCACACGAAACTACGACTTGATATGATCAGCCGAGCGAAAACATTAGAATGAAAAATTGTAGTCTGAACAATAGCAGCAGATACATAACACTTCAACATACAAAGACTCTAATATTGTAAACGTTTTTTCCGTTGGTAGTTTTTACTACACAAAATTATCATTCCAGCCATCGAGTCTGAGAGAAGAAGAATCCTATGATGTGTTAAGAGGGTTAGAAACAGTTACTGCGGGATACTGATTATGACTCTTTCTCTGATTTGGAGCATCAAATATACAACAGTTTCATCAAAAACGTCGACACCGTCCCTCCGTCCTCCCCGGACAAAACGCAAGAGCACAAAGTCCCGACGCGGCCGAAACATTTCTCACGTTCTTACAACGAAGAGAGAAAAATCAGGAAAGAGTTGTACACCGTCGTCTCCATTCACATGATGAAGGATGACTTGCGAACTCACAATAAGGCTAAGAACTGCCACGTGTGCGACTTCGACATCACCAATCGATACACCGATGCCGAGACTCGACCTCTGCTGCTGAGGAAGGTCGTCTACCCCTACGAGTACATGGACGACTGGACCAAGTTCGACGAGACGGGATTGCCTCCCATATACCACTTTTACAACAATATGACGGACTCGACTATCTTACAGGACGATTACGAGCATGCCCGCAATGTGTGGGACAAACTGGGCTGCAAGAATCTGGGCGAAACCACGACCTGTACTTGAAAACGGATGTGCTCCTGTTGGCCGACGTGTTCGAGATATTCTGAAAAACGTGCTCGAAACAGTACGGCCTGGATCCTGCGTGGTATTTCTCCCCACCCGGTCTCTCTTGGGACGCCTTGTTAAAAAACAGACCAGCGTGGAGCTGAAACTACTGACGGATTACGACACATGGAGAAAGGCTTGCGTGGCGAAATTTCCGCTAGCTCCCGAACGATTGATGGTGAACAAAACTTGCTGGGAAACAATAAGCCGCTAACGTCGAAAAACTTGTGCCAAAACTTGATGAACAAGTCAAAATACGTCGTTCACTATCGCAATCTGCAGCTGTACTAGTCGCTGGGAATGAAACTCACACAAATACTCAGGGTGCCCGAGTTCGATCAAAGTCCATGGATGGAGCCTTACATCCGAATGAATATGGACTTGTGAAAGCTAGCCACCAGCGATTTCGAGAAAAAAACCATAAACAACTCGGTGTTCGGCAAGACGATGGAGAATTTGAGAAAATGCATTAACGTGAAATTAGTCAGATCCAGCGAGGAAGAAAACTTCAGGAAACTTATAGCCAGCCCGGCGTTCAACCGAAGCAAGATATTCGATGACGACTTGGCAGCGCTGCACATGAACAAAAGCCACATCAAATTCGACCGGCCCGTTTACCTGGAGATGAGCATCATCGACTTATCCAAACACTTAATGTATGCTTTCTACTACAACGAGCTGAAAAAGCAGTTGGTGACAGGTGCGAAGTGCTGTACATGGACAGGGATTCCCGGCTCATGGAAATTCACACCGAGGACGTGTACGAGGACATGAAGAAACACATGCACCTGTACGACACCAGTGACTACCCCAAAGATCACCCTATGCACAGCCAAGTCAGCAAAAAAGTGCTCCGCAAGATGAAGGACGAATGCGCAGGCACGCACATCACTGAGTACATTGGCTTGAGACCCAAGATGTATTCCATCAAGAAAGCCGACGACGATGAAATCTGAAAGGCGAAAGCATGAAAAAATATGTGATGAAAAAACACATCAAGCACGCCAGATTCAAGGAAGCCCTGTCCAAGAATTAAACGTCCAAACACCAAATGAACATGCTGAGAAGCGACGGACACAGGATAGACGGACTGAGAATCAACACGACCTCGCTGTCTCCCATGGACACGAAACGATGGATCGCCATTGACGGAGTCACCTGTTACGCGTATGGGCACAAACGCGTATCGAATAATTGAATGCTTACGCACACATATACGTATAATATCATGGAGAAAATTTATTTCAGCCCGCGTGGGTACTGGAAAGGCGCGGACGCCATCACGAAACTCGCCAAAAGCAGCTCGAGTCTCGGGAGACGTCAGCAAAGCTTGGCTTAAAAAATAAGCCATCCGGCAATTCTACCTGCCAGCGCCTCGATACATCCCGAGAAGAAAATTTGACATTTCAACACCGAATCGCGTCCACCAAGCTGACCTCCTGTTTCTCCCTCACGACAGGGTGAGACGTAAAACCTACAAGCACGCCCTGACTTTTGTCGACGTCGCCAGTCGCTACAAGGAAGCCGAACCGTTGACAACAAAAGATTCGAACGAAGTCGCCAAAGCATTTGAACGCATATACAAACACAGTCGCTTGACATGGCCTACCGTATGCAATTCGATCCCGGAACCAAGTTCATGATTCGAACGAAGTCGCCAAAGCCTTTGAACGCATATACAAACACAGTCGCTTGACATGGCCTACCGTATGTAATTCGATCCCGGAACTGAGTTCATGGGAGCCGTGTCACAGCTGCTGGCCAAGCACAAAGTCCAAGTGAGACGAGGTATAGAGGGAGTTCACTGTAGCCAAGCCATCGCTGAGAGATTCAATCGCACCCTAGCCGAATGCCTGTTCTCGCACCAATACTCACAGGATTTAATGGATCCCGGAAACAGAAACACGGAATGGGTCGTACACTTACCGCGAGTGGTCGATGCCATTAACAACGAAGTTACCAGACTCGTCGAAGCAATCAAAATGAAAAATCTGTTGAATCGTCGTCGGCAGCAGCACGTCGCGATAAAACAGCTAAAACGTTACCAGACCTGTTCAGCGTTAGGTACTTGTACCAGCCGGGAGAATACGAGGGAGACAGCAGAAAACAAGCAAACGATCCAATGTGGTCCATGAAAACGTACAACGTAGACCTTGTTGACATCAAAGACAGTGAACCGAACTTGTACTACTTGAAATACGGACCGCAGAGAGCATTTGTCCGAGAGGAGTTGATGATCGTACCTCACGACATAGTCCCTTACACATCTCCCACCGTGTGATGATAGTTTCTCGTCATGATTTTTTATCAGTCTGGCATGCCTATTTTTCTGCTTAATGTAGCTAGCCAGCCAGCCACCCATACACCGAGCCTTTATTCCGACCGACCCCATGCTTCAGAAACTGTTTGACCGATTTTCATCAAATTTTGCATGCAACTCAGTAGTAATATACACAATGGGGCTATAGGATAAGGATATGAACTCCTCAAGGGCTCAATTTTCTGAACAAGTCAAAATACATCGTTCACTATCGCAATCTGCAGCTGTACTAGTCGCTGGGAATGAAACTCACAAAAATACACAGGGTGCTTGAGTTCGATCAAAGTCCATGGATGGAGCCTTACATCCGAATGAACATGGACTTGTTAAAGCTAGCCACCAGCGATTTCGAGAAAAACTCATAAACAACTCGGTGTTTGGCAAGACGATTGAGAATTTGAGAAAACGTGTTAACATGAAATTAGTCAGATCCAGCGAGGAAGAAAACTTCAGGAAACTTATAGCCAGCCCGGCGTTCAACCGAAGCAAGATATTCGATGACGACTTGGCAGCGCTGCACATGAACAAAAGCCACATCAAATTCAACCGGCCCGTTTACGTGGGGATGAGCATCATCGACTTATCCAAACACTTAATGTATGCTTTCTACTACAACGAGCTGAAAAAGCAGTTGGTGACAGGTGCGAAGTGCTGTACATGGACAGGGATTCCCTGCTCATGGAAATTCACACCGAGGACGTGTACGAGGACATGAAGAAACACATGCACCTGTACGACACCAGTGACTACCCCAAAGATCACCCTATGCACAGCCAAGTCAGCAAAAAAGTGCTCCGCAAGATGAAGGACGAATGAAGGACGAATCACTGAGGACGTTGGCTTGAGACCAAAGATGTATTCCATCAAGAAAGCCGACGACGATGAAATCTGAAAGGCGAAAGCATGAAAACATACGTGGTGAAAAAACACATCAAGCACGCCAGATTCAAGGAAGCCCTGTCCAAGAATTAAACGTTCAAACACCAAATGAACACGCTGAGAAGCGACGGACACAGGATAGACGGACTGAGAATCAACACGACCTCGCTGTCTCTCATGGACACGAAACGATGGATCGCCATTGACGGAGTCACCACTTACGTTACGGGCACAAACGCGTATCGAATAATTGAATGCTTACGCACACATACGTATAATACCATGCTTCAGAAACTGTTTGACCGATTTTCATCAATTTTTGCATGCAACTCAGTAGTAATATACACAATGGGGCTATGGGATTAGGAACTCCTCAAGGGCTCAATTTTCTCATATGCATCCACAGATCATAGTTAAAAGGTTTACTCTTTTCTAACATGATAACTTTCTTTGTTTGAGATATCTAAGGTGTCAATGTACGCATGAATATATTATTTAGTAGTTATACCTATATATTCTTCACAAAGATGTCCTCTGTAGTTTTCTGTGCAACCTTTCGAGCACTGCCCAGTTTGTTGAACACATACACGTTCCACGCAATTCTTGCTACAATGTAATTCGCATTGGCTGCCCCACCGTTCAGGGACACAGCCGAGTGAGCAGTCTCCAGTGTCTTTATCGCAATACCTTTGTTTGTCGACATGGGCGCGACAGTTGACATTGCAATGCTTGTCACAATGCTCTCCATACAACCCCGGACCACAGGGGGTTACGCCAAACATTCCTGGTACTGCAACACATGAATTATTCGCTTTAAAGCAATTCAACGGTCACAATACATTAATAAAGGTCATATACGAGAATAACCAATCTTGCCTATCTGTTCAGTGTTCATTTGGGAATCTGAATGCATCACTGGAAATGGTTGTCTCCCAAACCCCCTACAGCTCATAACCCCTACAGCCCAGTGTCCCTACAATTAGTTCAAACAACACACGGCATTAACCTGTCTGACATAATGAACTGACCCAAAGGAGAGATTACAGGGGCGGTGGGGTAGCCTAGTGGTTAAAGCGTTGGCTCGTCACGCCGAAGACCCGGGTTCGATTCCCCACATGGGCACAATGTGTTAAGCCCATTTCTGGTGTCCCCCGCCGTGATATTGCTGGAATATTGCTAAAAGCAGCGTTAAACTAAACTCAGTCAGTCAGTCAGAGATTACACGGTGGAGTATACAGTGTGAGAGTATACAGATGAGAAGGGAATTAGATTGTGTTGCTGTTATTAGTGTTTTAACAATTAATTTTAAATAATTGAGATGAATTAAATGTTGAACTAGGTTTTTTTAGCTTCCTGATGTACATAGTGAGTAGACAGATTTTGCAAATCGTAATAATATCAGTTGTAATAGTGTTATAGATAGTACACTTAGATAAATAATTTGAGATGATTTGTGGTGGTATATACGAGGGGCGATGAAAAAGTAGTCAGCCTAACTGTATTATGTCCAATATTTGGAAAGCTTCCATTTTATTATGTTTGATTATTTTTAGACAGGGGCTGTTTTTCAAGGACACCCCCGTCTTAATCTTTCAAAAACTGAAGGGGAGAATCACTTTAACAAGCAACTGTAGTTTCAACTTGTTTATGCACTTTAATATCCAAGTTTGATTCTAGCGGACTTCTGCCTCTCTCAAAGACACAAACTGTTTCTTGCATATTTTGTTTCCTGACGTCTGTGATGCATTATTGCAGATTTGGCGTTTTGGGGGGATACCAAGATAAAAAGTCAAACAAAGTGGGTATCGTGAGGCTGGTGATAATCAGTGATAACATCAGGAATTTCCCAAAAGTGTCAGTCTTTGTTACCAGTAGCACCAGCCACGCACACAACAGTAACGTGTTAAATAACAAATATGAATATATTGTATCATAGACATCAATATATTGCATGTCCACATGCCTGAGTCAGTGTATGCATAACTACTTTTCATTGTACTATTTTGATACATGTAAGAAAAGTTGATCGGCCGAGTGGGTATAGGGTATTGAACATAAATAGGGTATTGAAAGGAATCTGGAATCCTTTATTACTGAGCATTTAATGATGCCTTGTAAAAGTGTCAGTCTAATGTGTGCATAATTACCTCAATTGTCTTTATTTCTATTCTATGTACGTTGCTAGCACACGAAACTACGACTTGATATGACCAGCCGAGCGAAATATTAGAATGAAAAATTGTAGTCTGAATAATAGCAGCAGATACAGAACACTTCAATATACAATGACTCTAATAATGTGAACGTGTTTTCCGTTGGTATTTTTATCTACACAAAATTATCATTCCAGCCATCGGGTCTCAGTGAAGAAGATTCCTATGACGTGTTAACAGAGATAGAAACAGTTACAGCGGGATACAGATTATGACTCTTTTTATCTGATTTGGATCATCAAATATACAACAGTTTCCAAACGTTTTGCTTTTTCCATTCTTTCATATCTCGTAATACATATTGCTTGTTCACAACACAAATAGTCGTTTATTTCCTCCAACGGCAAGAGACAAAACCAACGACATACTCACCAAATATCACTAAATACATGTAGACAGTGGTCATTTCTGTAGTGGTGATCCACCTTTGCTCTTTTCTCTAGAAAAGATAAAATACATTTGAGGATGGAAGTTATTTGGACTACCATACAATTCATCAAGGACTTCAGTGCAGAAATGATTTGAATATCCATATTCAGAATTGTTTGGAAATGGATGTTATGTCACATTGAATTATTCATATTGGTACATGGGTGTGACCTTTTCGTAATTTTATCAGTTGGAATTTTTTAATCATATCAAATGCCGATTAGCGACCACGACTATAATGTTAAAATGAAATGTGAAACTACTTCTGTCAACGATCCCGTCTGTCCGTCTCAAGGTTTATTCGTATCAAAGAGTCAGATTTCGTTTAACTGACTGCACCTCACATTTTTAGACGCCACAACATACATGACACAGTGACATCAAGGAGAACGAAATTGTAAATCTCAATTTTTACATGCTATCTTGTCTGTTCGAATAACACTACACCTCTCTAAAAAGTACAGTCTTAAAACAGTCTTTAATACGAAAAAGACTTTCCACAGTCCATAGAAAGCATATGTACGTTCATACAATCTCATCAATCTATTTGAGATTTTGTCTTTTATTAATGCACAAAAACAAAAACAGTTCCAACCTTATCATCATTTAGTATACTTATAATATAAGTTAAGCACCACTAACTTATTGTTCTGAGTATATAATGAAAAGCAGTTTCTAAATAACAGCTTTCAAGATTTAGAAACCTGAAATCCACACATGCAGGGTGATTTATAGTGGAACTGCATATATTCATAAAAGAAGGATATTTCCTCATAAGCGAATTTGTATGCCTCACCATAAGAATAAAATAAGTGATGTTTTAATCCTTCCCTGTAGCTAGATCAAAATTAGTGACGTGCGCTTGTCCCTGATTTACCTTTAAACTGAGCTACGATCCACTTCAAAACAATCATGCTAATGTATTTAGCCTAGCTGACTATGGCACACAAGTGTTTTCTTTATCATGTTTTTTTTGTATTGATTTAAGTTCATCATGCTTGTAGATTGGTATTCTGGTTTATTCCTGCTATGCTAATCATAGAAACTGATTTTCTCCGATCGTCCGTTACGTGCACTGCTAATGTTCCAAAAACGATGACTGTGAAATGTTTGTTGTAAGCACTGATATTCAGAAACCTCATTCATTGAGTACCCGAAGGAAACTTTTACGTCATGCATTTCAAGATGTAATGTTCCGAAAATACAAGTCAAAAACATAACAGAATTACTTGTCTCATTCATCAGTAATGAATGTTTGTTGACGCTATTGTAGCAGGAACTGTGTCATTAAATAATTCATATTTTTCAAAATATATAATGACCTGATCTGTACCATTATCACAGGTTCTTATAGGTAAAGTAATATCATCTCTGTCTTTCCACTGGAACCGGCACTTCCTCTCCTTTGAAGATGTGTGCTTGGTAACTACTATATAATAAGTGTTTCATCATTGCCAGATAATTTGATGCGGTTTGATGATAATAACAATTTGAATCCTAAACTTGTTTGAAATTGACTCAACTGAAAACGTTTACTTCTCTTATTCCACCTCTTTGAATAAGAATCAAGCCTTTCCTTTCTGCTGCTGATATTGAACTAGAACATATATCTCCTGTCCGCCTGCTTTCTTCTCCTCCTTCGCAGTTTGTGAAGCCAGAAGTCGAACTTATATTGAGCACATTTAAGGAGTCAGAAACCAATCAATTATATTATAGACAAGAATTGAATCAACAGAGAAGGAAATATCATACATAAAAACCTATATTTACAGATGGATCCAAGTATGATGACGCAGTTGCTTGTGCCACTGTCATTAGATGCAGAACAATATCATCTCTATTACCAGCTCTATTTTCACGCAGAATTATCCGCCATAATAACAACTCTCAAATATATCAATATATGCTCCAAATATAAACAATATGAAATTATAATTTCTTCTGACTCGCTTTGATGTCTTAATGCTAATACGAATTGTCTTGTAAACATCTACTTTTAATTGAACTTACTGAATTATTTGATGCTCTAACAACTGAACAGTATGACATGTTCTGTACTTGGTTACGCAGCCATGTTGGAATCAGATACACGATGCCTGCTGCTGAGGCTAAAGCACCTCTCAGCAAATCTGTGACACCACGTCTCATCCCATACTCTGATTATAAGCCAGTTGTTAGAGGACATATCTTGGATCTTATGCAAAAGAAGTGGGGCATCCTAGAAGGTAAAAAATACATTAGATGCAATAGAACCAGCTATTGGTTACACCTACTTGGGCTGTCAGTCACGATTTGAGGAGATCATATTAAGACGATGTCGAATTGGACATTTACGATATACACATGAATATCTTTTAAAAGGTGAGGATCATCTACTCTGTACCCCTTGTAATTAGTAATTGAGCGAGTGAGTTAATTATTAGCGTCACATCGGCAATATCCCAGCCAAGATGACAACATTTTCAAGATTAAAACGGCACTCGTGAAGAGCCAACTCCTCGTGGTGGGTGCTGGGTAACGCTAAGCGCTCTTCGACCCCCCTATGTGGACCCGGGGGTATATTTGGTCCACCAACCCGTTTGCCGTGGGTTGCGCCCCTGTGTCGGTGGAGGACGGGAGTCTGGTGGTTGAGGGCACTGGTTCCAGGAACAGTGTTCCTTTGCCCAACACACCACTTCGCCCCTTACTTCACCTAGACGGGTGGTTGAATGGGCCCGGTTCAACCAATCGGCTGGTCATGTCGAGCCCTGTGCATTACTTGTATTTGCACAAATTATATTCTTAAACTATATGGTGGACTTTAGGTCTCGGCTTTATTAGTTTATAAAACATCACTTGATTTCGAACAATGTCTTTTCAATTTGCCTAGAGTCTAAATGCCCAGAAGGCGATGGCTCATGGGCCAATCTGGTAGGATCTATCTTTTTAAATCTTATCCTGCTTGAGTATACCCTCCTAGTATCTTTGGTGCCGTCTGCTGGAGGACCACAGGTATGAGGCATCGTCCTTGTTGACACTCAATGGTGGGTGAGGAGCTAGGAGGGTGAATCATATACAATACAACCATGGCACCCCCACTGAAAAAACGTTCGCATGAATCTGATGATTCAATATCTTCTGAGGACGAAACTCCTACTGTTCTCACAAATCCTGATCATTGGTCTCGATTTTTGGTCATGTCGGCACCAGATGATGGTCCACTTAAATTGAATCCTTTTGCCATTGCAAAGGGCATAGAAGGATTAGCTGGCGACTTAAAAGAAGTCAAGAAGCTACGTTCGGGATCACTACTGATTGAGTGCAAAAAGAAAATTCAATCACAAATCCTCCTTTCGACCAAATCATTAGCTAATGTTCCTGTGGAGGTTTCACCTCACAGGACACTCCACAGTAGTAAAGGCATTGTCCGTGATGTCGGACATTGCCTTTCAGATATGGATGAGGCTGACATCATTTCAGAATTACGTCCACAGGGAGTGACTGCTGTTAAACGGTTTACTTCCAAAAGAGATAATGAAACCATAAAGACCAACACTTACCTATTTACATTCGGTCTTCCGTCACGCCCAGAATCACTGAAAGCTGGACATTGTCACTCAAGGGTTGATTCTCAGATCCCAAATCCCCTGAGGTGCTACCGATGTCAGAAATATGGCCATGGTTCTAATTCATGCCGCGGCCCAGCTGCTTGTCATCGATGTGGTGGCAACTGTGAAGATAGCAGACTCTGTGATAAACCTCCTGCGTGTGTAAACTGCTCTGGGAGTCATCCCTCGTCGTCCAGAGCATGCCCTACATGGGAGTTCCAGTCAAAAATTTCGAAAATGAAACATGACGGTAATGTCACTTTGTTTTAAGCGAAGAAACTTGTTCCGGCTCTCGAAAAACCAGGCCCATCTTATACGGCTGCTGCTTCTGCCTCAACTCCAATTTCCCGACCGGTTTCATGTCAGTCAATAGGTTGCCTAACCGAATACACATGGATTGGGTCATCTAATCCAATCTTGGCTAAACCTCGTCGACAATCATCCAGTTCTTTATCACAAACGGAAGATCTATCTACAGTTATCTCACCGTCGCCAGTGGTTCCAGCATTGGAACCAAAATCAATACCAAAACCATCCCCTGTTCAGAAATCGACTAAAAAACAAATTGATCTTTCTATTCATTCAGATCGTATACCAAAGGGTCAGCGTGACGGCTACAAAATCGTTATCAAACCTTGGAGGACATTGATGTCTCTCCTCTCTACCATGGGCGCAACAGAAGTAAGTCGCCGAGAAAAGGGACAAATAGATCCCCTGTACAGCCACCTATAACATAAATGGTTCTAGGTCACTCCTTCAGTGGAATTGCAGAGGTCTCAGGTCCAATTTAAATGATTTACACTTAATAATACAAGATTATAAGCCGTCAGCAATATGTCTCCAGGAGACATACCTTAAAGAAACTGATAACTTTGATTTACGTCAGTACAGTACCTACCATTCATTCTCCCCTCCAGGGACTAAAGCTACGGGTGGATCTTCTGTTTTCGTAAGGCAGGGTGTTCTCCACAGTCCTGTTTTAATTCATACAAATCTTCAGGCTGTTGCAGTTCGAATAACTATGCACATTGTTTTTACTTTGTGCTCTCTTTACATTCCTCCAACATCGCTTCAACTAACTGATCTTCAAGCACTTTACGACCAGCTTCCCAAGCCCTGCATCATTATGGGCGATCTAAATGGTCATAACCCACTCTGGGGCAGTATGCATGCGAGCAATAAAGGAAAGTTACTTGAAGATTTCATTTCGAACAATGATTTATGCATTTATAACGATGGCTCACACACTTATCTCCATCCTGGTACTGGTACCTATTATAATCTTGACTTGTCCATCACTGACTCAAATCTCCTGAATGAATTTGATTGGTCCGTCCACGACGACCTTTGTGGAAGCAACTACTTTCCTACAGTTCTCGAACAAGTAGCCTCATCTGATGTTCCTCCATCATCAAGATGGAATTTCAAAAAGGCTAACTGGCCTTTATATGAAACTCTGTGTGCTGACGAACTTAAACCTAAAGTTTTCATTGATGTCAATGATGCTATAAAGAGTTTCTCTGATAAACTGAATAACATAGCGGATGTGTGCGTCCCTAAGTCCTCTGCAATTCCACACATTAGAAAACCATGGTTCAAAAATGACTGCAAACAAGCTAGGAAGGCAAGGAAAAATGCAGAACATTACTTCCGTCGCCATCCTATGGTTCAAAATTTGAACACGTTTAAGATTTTAAATGCTAAAGCACGGCGTACTTTCAAGCAAAGTAAACGCCAATCTTGGCGAAACTATGTATCAAAAAATAAATTCGCGCACACCAATATCAAAGGTGTGGAATATGATCCAGAAAATCAAAGGTAAGGGCTCTAAATCTAGCATTCACCATCTCAAATATGGGAACCAATTATTGACTAATAAATCAGATACTGCAAATAAACTTGGTGAGGCATTGGCCAAACATTCTTCCTCGTCTAATTATGTACCTGAATTCCAAAAATATCAAAAACAGCAAGAAAAGAATGCTATTAATTTCAATTCAGATAATGGGGAAGATTTCAACGAAACCTTTTCAATCCACGAGCTTCATACTGCTCTTGACCAGGCTCATGGTACTTCTTCCGGAGCTGATAACGTACATTATCAACTCCTAAAGCACCCATCAGAATCATGTTTAGAGACGCTCTTATCTATTTTTGATGATATTTGGACATCTGGACAATTTTCTTTGTCGTGGTGCGATGCTATAATTGTGCCCGTCCCTAAACCTGGACGTGATCATATTGATCCTTCCAATTATAGGCCAATTTCACTAACTAGCTGCGTTTGCAAGACCATGGAACGGATGATAAATAATCGACTTGTTTGGTACTTGGAAACAAATAACCTTATAACAGATATACAGTGTGGTTTCCGTAAAAGCAGAAGTACTGTCGATCACCCAGTGCGTTTGGAATTATTTGTTAAAAATGCTCTAATTAATAAGCAACACACTGTGTCTATCTTTTTTGATCTTGAAAAAGCATATGACACTACGTGGAAATATGGCATTTTAAAAGATTTACATGGCTTCGGATTGCGAGGCCGTTTGCCTCAATTTATAGCTAACTTTTTAAAAGACAGACAATTTCAAGTCCGCGTGGGATCTACCCTGTCTAGTCATTACAATAAGGATCAGGGTGTCCCACAAGGCAGTATTTTGTCTGTCACATTGTTTAGTATCAAGATCAACAGTTCATCCAAGGTTTTGAATGATTCAATTGATGGATGACTTTTTGTGGATGATTTTAACATTTCTTGTCGCCGTAAGAATATGCATACTATTGAACGACAACCGCAGTTGTGTTTAAACATAACATATAAATGGTGTCTGGAAAACGGCTTTACATTTTCTAAATCCAAAACTAATTGTATACATTTCTGCCGTAAATACAAACCGCATTAAGACCCTGAACTATCTCTAAATGGCACACCCATCAAAGTTGAATTTAGTGTGCATTCCTAAGAGATGTTATTAATTCAATGTCAATGTTTTCTATAAGTCACAACTGCTATTTAGTGAAAGAAAATCTTTGTCAGTCATCAAACCAACCCAAGCTAAGGAAATATGTCCTTCTCTCGCTTGTCTCTCTACTCTTACAAATTTCATTAAGTTCTTCTGCGATTGAAATTTTTATCACTTTTCAGGTCAAATGATCAGTTTTGATTTATTGAACTTCGTGCTTATTGGACAGTGGTTACAGTTTATATTTCCTCAAGCTTAAGGAACATTGGACAGATTTCCTTTCTCCAGCTAGCGATATTGTTGTCGAATGCTTGTTTGTACTGATTGTTTATTGTTTTCTAACTTTCAGAAGCTGGAAAGCAGGAAGAAGGTCCCGACAACGATTGACTGGCCGGAGAATAAGCAGAAAGTTCTTCCTCTCTTCGGGAAAGAGTTAACATTTCTCAATTTGGAAAACCAAATAATATGGAATCATCTACATTGATGTGTTTAGGAAAAACATTCCATTCTCACTGCTATTTATTCCCTTATTGCTTTCAATTATTTATGCATTTTGAAAATTCAGTTTTTATTAATGTGAACATTCCAAATATCATTTGTTTAACAGCAAATT